GGAATTCCTTGAACCCGGGACGTGGGGGTTGCAGTGAGCTGAGATCACGCCACTGCACTCCAGCCTGGTGACAGAGCAAGACCCTGTCTCAAAAAAAAGAATGCGTACATCTACATTTTTAAAATAAATATCGCCAAATTGCCCCCTAAAGGAGTTTATACTCCCACCAACAAAGCATAAGCATACCTGGTTTCCTACGCCTTTGCCTGAAGGATTGAGCATTAGCAATCCTTTTAATTAGTGAAAACACTTAAGAGGATCACCGAAACTGGGTTGAGCCTCTTTCTCTATCACCAACACGTACCGACACTCAGCATTTTCTGACCAGTGTTGAAACTAAGAACTGAAACTAAGACGGCATTAAATAGCATCTCTATTTAAAAGTTAGAATTCTCGTTTTTACTCAACCTCAGTGAGCCTGAGCATAAAAATTTGGCATGAGTGAAATCAGCTGCTTTTAAAGAAGTCAATGCTACTTCCATTGGAAGTTAGAACGCTTGAAACACACTGGACATTGACTCAGGGAAAGGAAGCTGCATGTCTCTTCCTTCCTGCACTCCCTCCAGGGCCTATACGTATGTGTGTGTATATGTGTGTATATATATACACACACACACACATACATATATACATACATTGAGTACATGGGTGGGCAGAATGACCTGTACCATTAAAATTGGTTTTTAAATTTTTGCTCGGCTTATTTTGTTAAATTCGTATAAGCTGAAGGTGCACATGATGTGGCTCTAGTATGTATACTGTGTCATTTGTACAAATAAATTAACCATTATATCATGTCTAGCTAGAGCAGAATTCTTCAAAATATTATATCACAGACTGAAAAAGTATAAAACAGGAAAGTATGCATTTATTAGACATTTCTTCTTTTTTTTTTTTTTTTTTTTTGAGACGGAGTTTGGCTCTTGTTGCCCAGGCTGGAGTGCAATGGCGCAATCTCAGCTAACTGCAACCTCCGCCTCCCGAGTTCAAGCAATTCTCCTGCCTCAGCCTCCCAAGTAGCTGGGATAACAGGCATGTGCCACCACACTTGGCTAATTTTGTATTTTTAGTAGAGACAGGATTTCACCATGTTGGCCAGGCTGATCTCGAACTCCTGACCTCAGCTGATCCACCCGCCTCGGCCTCCCTAAGTGCTGGGATTATAGGCATGAGCCACCGTGCCTGGCCTCATTTATTGGAACATTTCTAATGGAAAATACTGAGAAGCTAAATACCTGAGTTTTAGCCTTAGTTCTCTTTATAGAAGTTGTATCACTTTTATGTTAGTCCTTCAATTCCCAAATGCCTACTAACACATATAAATAGGGGAAATCCTTACAGTCTTACCACCTCATAGGGTGGCAAGTTGGATTGAATGAGATGTATGGAATAACTTTTAAAAATGGAAAGCACATTATACATTATTATGTAGGCACAGCACTGGCCTCATAATAAGGTGAATAATTTTTCCCCCATGTCTCAAATATTAAAGGTAGCTTACCATCTTACACCTCAGCAACTGAGATGTACAAATTAAAGGTAAAGGGAACAACTTGTAACAGAAAAGCCATTTCAGTATCATGTTTTTCTTACTCTTCTAATAGTTTATAAAAACTCGATTTAAGATATTATATGCCACATATTCACTTCTGAATAGAGAAAAAAAAGACATATTTATGTATTCCGAAACACTTTCCTATGGTCTTTCATTTTATCTTTACAATTACAATAGTTCACAATGTGTACTGCTATCCTTATTTTACACCTGAAATGTAGATTAAGAGACTTGCCCCAAGCCATACATGAGACTTATGGAGGAGCTGAAACTGACTCATGCCCTTAGCACTTTTCCATTGATTCTCAAACTTTCATATATATCAGAATTAGCTGCGTAGCTTGTTATACAGACCAGTCGCTTATAACACAGGTAATTCGGATGTAGGTATTCTGTGGACAATATCGTGAAGCATTTCATTCAGCATGAAGAGAAGCACTTGATTTCTTCTGAAGGTGTTTGCTTGCTTTGTGTCAAGAACCCATGAGTTTCAAGGCTCTTAGTGACTCAGACTCAGTTTGCATTTCCCAATTTAGCAAAGTGTGAGATGAATAAATGCCCAGTATTGGGACTCCTGGACCCCAATTAAAACCCTCATTTGAAGGGCTTTCCTTGGCCTGGGAGAGCTTTCATCTGTGGGAAGGGCTCTCTGTCCTTTGGTGCCACCTAGGGGTCAGTTACTGATTTGTAAAAAAGAAATTTGATGGTCTAGGTAAAGAGGGAAAAATAAAACAAAGGAAAACACAGGAGGAGATGAGAGAGATAACTCTAGGGGCTTATTTTTTATTCCTTAAAACAAATTTAAATTGCATTTATACTTTGGGTTTTTTCTCCTTATAAGGTCCCTAAGGGGGTGCACATATTCACTGTTGTATCCCTAGTTCCTACAACAGTGCCCAGCACATAGTAGGTGCTCAGTAACTACTTGTTGAATGAATAAGTGAATGATTAGTGAATATGCTCTAGTACTAGATGCTGTGCTATTAAAAGGATTTCTCTTCAAATCAATAGGGAGCCCAGGTGTACAAGATATTTCCAACCACACCAGTATAAAAATGTTATCGATATATCCATTAAAATAAATAATTTGCATTTTCTCCCATAGTGGATGCCATCAGAGAAGAGAGCACTCTATTGTTCTAATTTAAAGTACAGCTGAAGCTGGGGCATGGTGGCTTACGCTTGTAGTCCCAGCATTTTGAGAGGCTGAGACGGGTGGATCACCTGTGGTCAGGAGTTTGAGACCAGCTGGCCAACATGGTGAAACCCCGTCTATACTAAAAATACAAAAATTAGCCAGGCATGGTGATGGGTGCCTGTAATCCCAGCTATTCGGGAGGCTGAGGCAGGACAATTGCTTGAACCCTGGAGGCGGAGGTTGCAGTGATCGCACCATTGAATCCAGCCTGGGCAACAAAGTAGAAACTCCGTCTCAAAAATTGAATAAATAAAAATAAAGTACAGTTCAAAAGCGTTCGCCTTTCCCTGACCTTCTTAATAGTAATACCACTAGGTCGGGCACAGTGGCTCACGCCTGTAATCCTAACACTTTGGGAGGCCAGGGTGGGCAGATCACCTGAGGTCGAGAGTTCAAGACCAGCCTGACCAGCATGGAGAAACTCTGCCTCTACTAAAAATACAAAAGTTAGCCAGGCGTGGTGGCATGTGCCTGTAGTCCCAGCTATGAACCTGGGAGGCGGAGGTTGTGGTGAGCCGAAGTCACACCATTGCACTCCAGCCTGGGGGACAAGAGCGAAATTCTGTCTCCAAAAAAAAAAAAAAAAAAGTAATACACCCTTTTCAGAAATCTTACAGCATAAAATCTTTACCCCTTTTATAGCATTCATCACTTATCCAACCTCGCTCTCTTTTTTTTTTTTAATTTGCACATAAAACTTATTTCCTGGCTGAGTATGGTGGGGTGGCTCATGCCTATAATCCCAGCATTTTGGGTGGTTGAGATGGGAGGATCTCTTGAGTCCAGGAGTTCGAGACCAACCTAGGCAACATAGTGAGACCCCATCTCTACCCGCCCCCCACAAAAAAAAAGTATGTCTCTGTATTAATTAAGATTTTTTTGTTTGCATGTTAACTGAAATTTATTTGAGCTAGCTTAAGCCAAAACCAGGGAAATTACTATAGAAATATGGGAATGTCTTATAAAATCAAATAGCAGTAATACAGCTGGACCTACTGGAGGGCTCAGAAGCAGTAAGCAACTTAGGCATCAGTATATTCCCTGCACTTCTCTCTTTTTCATTTCTTCTTGGTCTGAAGCCCAGCTTTCTCTAATCCTCAGCCCTCATAGCAGCAGATGACTACCACATATGCAGTTTTTATATGCCTCAATTCCAGCCACACATAGAGATTAACTGGTTCTGAATATCAATTCCAAATTCCAAGTAGAGAAAATAAATTGACCCAGGTTGGGCCTCGTATCTAAATCTGATTCAGTGAGCTTTGAGCAGAGCATATACTTCAATAAATGTCTAGTGCACTTCCCTATTGGAGTGTCAGTGAGTTGAGGACAGAAGTCGTGGTTTAATAAATATTTTTATGTACTGAAAGCACATTGTTCAGATCTTCATATATAGTGCTATTTAAGAAATATTCTTCAATTGAGGAATGAAAAGATTTCACCCAACTTCCCCTTTTTTTCTAGTTTGCTTTCCTTTCCTCCTTCAACAACAAAGAAAGAAAGAAAAGGAAGAAAGAAAGATATGAGTAGAACAGAAAAGAACAGAGTGATTAGATGTATAAATGATTAAACAGATTGTAATGTGGAAGATGAAAGAGGATAGATGTCATCTGTGTTTTTTTTCCCAACATGCCTTGGACTCTGAGATTTTAAAAAATAGATAATTGGCCTACTTCTGATTCGTGCAAAAACAGGGTATTTCCCAGAAAGCTAAGAACATTGCAGATATTATCAGTTTAATTCTCATTGGAACCACCTGGAGAACTCTTACCACTACTGACATCAGGCTTCCACCCCAGACAGTTATGAGAATTTCACCCTGTGAGATTCAAGCATCTTATGTTTGAAAAGTTTCCTCACATGACTTCTATGGGCAGTCAGGGTGTAGAACAACTAGCTTCACTGAAGAAACATTTATGTAGACCTATGCATAGCACATCACCTAACTAAGGTTCACAGCAGCTCTGTGAGGTAAAAGGGAGTCAGGCAGAATTAATCCCATTTTACAGATAGTGCAGTAGTGATTGCTGTGAAGTTGCCCATTTTGTAAGTGGTGGACCTAGGAACAGAATCTAAACCTGAAGAGATTTTTAATTTAATCTCATTAAGTCTTGCTGCCAAACACTAATGGGTTTAATTAAGAGATGGTTAGCAGTGCCATTCCTTGCCATCCCTCACTTAGTTGTGCATTCCTTCCAGCTCCTCTCCATTCACCTCTCTCTGTTTATCTTTTGTTCCTGGACGCAGGAACTAAATAAAAAGAGGACCCAGAAGGAGATGGAGCATGCCATGCTAATCCGGCACGACGAGTCCACCCGAGAGCTAGAGTACAGGCAGCTGCACACGTTACAGAAGCTACGCATGGATCTGATCCGTTTACAGCACCAGACTGAACTGGAAAACCAGCTGGAGTACAATAAGAGGCGAGAAAGGGAACTGCACAGAAAGCATGTCATGGAACTTCGGCAACAGCCAAAAAACTTAAAGGTAAGAGGAGATAGCATTTCCCTATTTGTGCTCCTGGACAGTGTTGGACCAGATCAGTGGTTTCTCTCCCTGAAGTGTCAGAGTCACCCGAGCAACTTTTCAGAATCACAAATTTCTGCACCCCACACCTATTGCATCAGAATCTCCAATTGTAAAGCACAGAGTCTGTATTTAAGCTCCTGAAAAGGAGATGCTGGGCAAGCTGGTTTGGAAACTATTATTATACTACATTATCTATCAATTTGTCCTCATATCCATTATGGAATTTCTCTGAGCACTTCATGACCTGCCCTCTTCAAAACTGGACTAATAGCAATGTATGGTTCTAATCCCAGGAAATAAGGAAGTTATATTGGTGTTAGATACTTTGAGCACCGCTGTATTGAGAAAGACTCTAAAGCCCCATCCAAGCTTAGGAGGAAAGAGTGTCATTTATTAGTGATGTCTGTCATGGTCATCAGGAATGAATCTACAAGTGCCTGACATTTACCACTTCTGCACTAGAGATGCAGAGATGTGAAGGAACTCCTGTGGCCTTCACTGCCTCCAGCTAATTTTAGCTGACTGCTAATTAACAAGTTCTGTGTACTAAGCCATTGCTATATATCCAGGAGGACATTGTCAGTGTTGGCACAGATGTGAGGCCAACCTCGATCACCCTGGCTGTGCGTCTCTTCAGTCAAATCCTAAGCTAAGCAGTGATTTCTGTCACCATTAGTCCTCAGAGTGTTTGTGAAGTGCACACATGACTATGGGGCAACCTGATGGAGTGCCTTCTGGGCTTAAAATGATATACTCTACCTTCTCTTTGCCCAAATGCATATTTGATATTGCTACATGCAAGCACAACCTCTTAATGGGGAAAAAATTCTAAATCACTTTTCTCTTTCAGTTTACACTGAAATCCAGTGGAAATGGGTTAGGATATGAGGTACTATCCATGTGCTCTCCTTTATGGAGTTGATAAGAAATTGCTATAAACCAGAGCAGTGAGAGCTGGCTTATATAATGCTATCCCCTCTCTCACTTGGAAGCAAGGTGAAACACAAAAAGGGGAAAAAAAAAGGAAAAAAATAATGAACAGTGGAAGACACTGAAGTGTCTATCTGACTAGGAAAGCATGAAAAGAGTTGCCACTCTTTCAGCAAGCTAAGCTACATAATATCCCTCAATCTGCTTAGAGTTGTCATCCCCTTGTAACAGTCCATATTTTCTTTGGAGCCATTTGTAAATTCAAAATTACTTGCAGTCATTCAATGTAAAACCAAAAGTATAGGTGGAGTTAACTTTTGCTGTGTCATACATACTGCTTGATTTTTATTGATTAGCAATGTGGGTCACTGCACCAAAAAACAGATGCTCTCAGCACTTGTATTATGTCATTATGGTAGAAGGCTTTCTGCATTTACTGATGTGCCTTTATTTTTCCTTTGTCACTTTTTCTACCCAGGCCATGGAAATGCAAATTAAAAAACAGTTTCAGGACACTTGCAAAGTACAGACCAAACAGTATAAAGCACTCAAGAATCACCAGTTGGAAGTTACTCCAAAGAATGAGCACAAAACAATCTTAAAGACACTGAAAGATGAGCAGACAAGAAAACTTGCCATTTTGGCAGAGCAGTATGAACAGAGTATAAATGAAATGATGGCCTCTCAAGCGGTAAGTGGTTAGGTTTGGTGCCACAGCTTCAAGAGCTTTGGGAATCGAGAAAATCCAAGATCCAGCCTGTTGTTCCCAAGATGATTCTTGCACAGATTTAGGATATTGATGTTTTTCTGCCCAAAGGACTGAGGAAAGGACGACGCTGAATAAAGCCAAGCCAATGTGGATACTTGCTGGAGTGTCTTATAAGATGGAACTCAAGGAGTGACGTGCCACATCAGACCTGTGGCACATAGGGACTTTAAGGGCAAATGTGATAGATACCACATATGATATCATGTGTTCATTTATCAAAGATTTTACTGACTGCCCTCCTCCCAACTAATACCAGGCACAAATGAATAAGACAGTCCTTGCCCTTAGGGAGCCCACAGTCAAGTGAGGAAGACAGACACACAGACACACTCATGCATTAAACCTATTAAGCATCAGTGTTCAGCATTCTGCTGGACTCAGAGGGTGAGCTAGACAGACAATTTGTCAGTCAAGTCAGGTGGTCAGATAATGAAGTGGTAATAGTAAAACATGGTAAGTGGGGCCAGGCGCGGTGGCTCAGGCCTGTAATCCCAGCGCTTTGGGAGGCCAAGGCAGGTGGATCACAAGGTCAGGAGTTCAGAACCAGGCTGACCAACATGGTGAAACCCCATCTCTACTAAAAATACAAAAATTAGCCGGGCGTGGTGGCAGGCACCTGTAGTCCCAGCTACTCAGGAGTCTGAGGCAGGAGAATCGCTTGAACCCGGGAGACGGAGGTTGCAGTGAGCCGAGATCATGCCATTGCACTCCAGCCTGGGTGACAGAGCGAGACTCTGTCTCAAAAAAAAAAAGTAAGTGGTTTGAAATGGGAGGTACTGGGGGTCAGGGGAGAACAAGTAGGACTAACTAAGCTGGTCTAGGGAAATCTTCCTGGAGGGAGCCAAGAAACTTTAAGGAATTCATTGACATAAACCGATTCCTTGAAACTGGAACCTACATAGGCAAAGGTTCAAACAAAGGAAAGTATATGGAGACAGAAAGAACTTTGGTGTGAGCCCGAAGTTCAAGAAGGAAGATTGCAGGAACCTAGAATGGAGAGGTCATAAAGGGAGCTTGGGATGGAAGCTTGCCTGGCAATTCAGTGAAGATTTCCCAAGGAGATGAGTCTTAAAGAGTAATAGTTTACCAAATAGACATAAGAGAAAAAGTTATTCCTGACAGAGGATACAGTATATGCAAAGACTTAGAGGCCTGAAAGAGGATGACACATTTGAGAAACAATGAGTAATTGCTATGGCAAGAGGATAGGATGCTTGTTGAGGGAAAGTGGGAGGATAGTCAGGGTCAGAGCCTCAGAAGCCAGGAGTTTGGATGTTATTTTGTAAGCAATGGAGAGCTGTTGAACCCTGTTTTAAGAAGGAAAGTATAACTGGATCAGATTTGTGTTACAGAAAGATGTTGGCAGAAATGTGGCAAATATAGGTAAAAGGACCTGTTAGGAAGCCATTATAATAGTCCAGGAAAAAGATGATGAGAGAACATGCTAATGGAGATGGAGAGGAGTGGGGAAGGTTTTAAGAAATATTTAGGAGGCTGGGTGCGGTGGCTCACGCCTGTAATCCCAGCACTTTGGGAGGCTGAGGTGGGTGGATCATGAGGTCAGGAGATCGAGACCATCGTGGCTAACACGGTGAAACCCTGTCTCTACTAAAAATACAAAAAATTAGGCCGGACGCGGTGGCTCACGCCTGTAATCCCAGCACTTTGGGAGGCCGAGGCAGGCGGATCATGAGGTCAGCAGATCGAGACCATCCTAGCTAACATGGTGAAACCCCATCTCTACTAAAAATACAAAAAAATTAGCCGGGTGTGGTGGCGAACGCCTGTAGCCCCAGCTACTCGGGGACCTGAGGCAGGAGAATGGCATGAACCTGGGAGGCAGCGTTTGCATTGAGCCGAGATCGCGCCACTGCACTCCAGCCTGGGCGACAGAGCAAGACTCTGTCTCAAAAAAAAAAAAAAAAAAATTTAGCCAGGCGTGGTGGCGGGCACCTGTAGTCCCAGCTACTTGGGAGGCTGAGGCAGGAGAATGGTGTGAACCCAGGAGGCGGAGCTTGCAGTGAGCCAAGACCGCGCCACTGTACTCCAGCCTGGGTGACAGAGCGAGACTCCATCTCAAAAAAAAAAAAAAAAAAATTTAGGAGGCAAGAATGGAAATAACTTAGTGACCAATTTGAGAGGTTTGACAACAGAGTAGAATAGGTCATTATCTTGCCAAGCTAGAACAATAAAATAGTGAGTTTGTATGCCTGCCAGGATAATTGACTACGCTGTAGACATGGTATCTGAGTTTCGTGGGTGTCCAGGTAGAGAGGTACAGAGGTACAGATAATGGAAACCTGTAGTTTAGGAGCAATTTCAAGATTAAAGGCAAAAAGCTAGACTTCATTGTTATGTGGGTGCACTTGTGGCTGGTAGGAATAGATGAGATCTGCTGGGGATGGGAGAGATTCTTAGAGAGGAAAGAGCTAAGGACAGAGTCTGGTAGGCACCAACATTTGAGGGCTGAGTGGAAGTAGAACAAAAATGAATAATCAGAGACACAGGAAGGGAACCCGAAGAGAGCGTGTCACAGGAGCCCGAGCAGGGGTTTCTAACTGGCAGCATCACATGTTGCAGAGATCAATTAGAAGAATAAACTTTGAGGTGGTCGTTGGACCTAGCACTGGATTCGTCCATTGCTTGTCTCAGAGAATCAGTGGAGTGGTGGGACTGGGAAACATTATAGAGCATTGGATGAGGGATTATAAAGTGAAATCCAAATGGTAGGTGAGACCGCTTTTCCCAGATCCTCATCAATGAAGGAAAAGAGAACAAGAGCTGTAGCAAAAGGAGGAGATAGTTGAAGAAAGACTTCTGTTAGTTGGGAGAGGCTTAAGCATGCATGTTCTTAGGCTGAGGATGGGAGCTAGTGCATTCATCTATTCATCCATCCAGCAAGTATTCACTGAGTGCCTACATGATGTACCAGGCATCTGGGGATACTCTGGTGGATAAGACAGTCATGGATCACGTCTTCATGGAGTTTATGGAAGCATGGAGGAAACAGACATTGGAAAAGTCTACTCCATGTAACGGCAGAGCAAGAGCAAGGTGCCAACAGAGTACAAACAGGAGAGCTCGCCTGGTCTGGAGAGTCAGGAGAGGCCTCCCTGGCACAATGGCTGTGTAGGCTGAGGAACCTACACATGAGGAACACATGTGTGAACATGGGGAAGGCAGTGGCACTTCGGAAGAATTCACAGAAATCTATTATGTTTGGGATGTAGGGAACTAGGAGAGGACTAACATGAGAACAAGACTGGAAGGGTAAACAGGCTGGGTCACGTAGGGGCTTTCAGGCTTTGGTAAGAATTTTTGTCTTTATCCGTGAAAAGATAAAGTGAAAAGCCGTTGGAGAGTCTTAAGCAGGGAGTGACATCAGATTTGTGTTTCTGAACCATCACTCTGGTGACATAGAGAATGGCTTGGGAGATGGGAAGAATGGATATTAGAAGATGATTTGTGAAGTTACTTTTACCTGGGGTACGAGGGAGTGGGAGCTAGACTAGAAAAGGGGCAGTCGGGATGAAGGGGAAAGTTACTAAATTTGGTGGGAGGTAGAATTGAGAGTACTTAATGACAGGTTGAATGTAGACAGTCCAGTGTCCCTGGTTTGAACAAAACAGTAGATGATGGGTGGGCATGGTGGCTCACGCCTGTAATCCTAGCACTTTGGGAAGCCAAGGCTGGCAGATCACCTGAGGTCAGGAGCTCGAGACCAGCCTGGCCAACATGGCAAAACCCTGTCTCTACTAAAAATACAAAAATTAGCCGGGCGTGGTAGTGCACACTTGCGTAATCCCAGCTACTTGGGAGACTGAGGCAGGAGAATTGCTTGTACTCAGGAGGCAGAGGTTGCAGTGAGCCAAGATCATGCCACTGCACTCCAGCCTGGGTGACAAAGTGAGACTCTGTCTCAAAAAAAAACAAAAATGCCGGGCACAGTGGCTCACGCCTGTAATCCCAGCACTTTGGGAGGCCGAGGCGGGTGGATCATGAGGTTAGGAGATGGAGACCATCCTAGCTAACATGGCGAAACCCTGTCCCTACTAAAAATACAAAAAATTAGCCAGGCGTGGTGGCGGGCGCCTGTAGTCCCAGCTACTTGGGAGGCTGAGGCAGGAGAATGGCGTGAACCCAGGAGGTAGAGCTTGCAGTGAGCCAGGATCGCGCCACTGCACTCCAGCCTGGGTGACAGAGCCAGACTGTATCTCAAAAATAAACAGTAGACGATGGTCTACCTATATTTACCTATATGGCAAAAAAGGAAGTGGAACAGATTGGGGAGTGGGAAGGAAAAGGTGATGTGTTGGCTGTGTGGAGCCTGAGAGCCTGGGAAGCATCCAGGGGAGGATGTCTCTAGTAGACTAGAGGAGCTCGTCTGGACCTCAGAAGGAAAGTCTGAAATAGAGGTTTAGTGTGGGAGTCATTTGCACATATGTAGATGGTAAATGAGGCTTTTGAAATAGATGAGATTCTTAGGAAGAGCGGTTAGAGGAAGAAGAGGGCCCAAGACAAAGACCTTAGGAACACTCGCATTTAAGGGCCAGGTAGGTAAGGACTCTTGGCAGGGGAGTAGTCAGGAAAGACAAAAACCAAGAAGTTGTGGTATCTCAGAAGACAAAGATTTCAAGAAGGAAGGGGCAGTCGGCAATACCAGATGCTGCTGGAAGGTCAGGTAACGGACCACTTCCAGGCCATCATGGGTTACCTCAATGTGAGCGGTAGAAGTAGAGGGTTAGGATCAGAATGAGTGCAAGGAAAGGAGTGGAGAGAGAGGTGAAAGGCAAAGAGAAGGAAGAAGTTGGTAAGAGACGTAGAGGTTGATAGGGTTTTTGTCTTGTTACTCTTTATATTCTCAGCATCTGCAACAATGCGTGGCATACAGCCAGCGTTCAATGAATGTTTGTTATATAAAATGGGAGAGACTAGGCACGGTGGCTCATGCCTGTAATCCCAACACTTTGTGGGAAAGGTCACCTGAGGCCAAGAATTCTTGACCAGCCTGGGCAACATAGCAAGACCCTGTCTCTACAAAAAATACAAAAATTAGCCAGGCATGGTGGCACATGCCTGTAGTCCCAGTGACTTGGGAGGCTCAAGCCCAGGAGTTCAAAGCTGCGGTGAGCTATGATCACACCACTGCACTCCAGCCTGGGCAACACAACAAGACTGGGACTCTTAAAAAAAATAAATAAGATGAGAGAGAACAGGATCAGAAATAGAGGTCAATGATTACCCTCGAATAAAAGGAGAGAAATGCCCTTTCTTCTGAGACAGGGAGAAGATAAGTGTGTGATCATTACAGTATCCTTCACTGACTACTTACCATGTGGCAAGTACAATGGTAAATATCTCATAAGTGTTACCTCATTTCATTTTTGTGAAACCCCTTCGAAGTTACCGTTTTGACCCTAATTTACCTGTGAGGAAACTGAAGTTCACTGAAGTAAAGCAACTTGCTTAGGACAGGAGTTGGCAAACTTTGTCTGTAAAGGGACAGATAGTAATTAACTTTGTGGACCACAGGGTCTCTGTCACAGCTACTCAGCTTTGCCATTGTAGCACAAACGCAGCCATAGACAAAACATAAATTAATGAGTATTAGCAGTGTCCAATAAAACTTTATTTACGGCCGGGCGAAATGGGTCATGCCTGTATTCCCAGCACTTTGGGAGGCCGAGGCAGGGGGATCGCCTGAGGTCAGGAGTTCGAGACCAGCCTGGCCAACCTGGTGAAACCTCGTCTCTACTAAAAATACAAAAAAATTAGCTAGGCATGGTGGCGCGTGCCTGTAATCCCAGCTACTCAGGAGGCTGAGGCAGGAGAGTCGCTTCAACCAGGGAGTTGGAGGTTGCAGTGAGCCAAGATCACGCCACAGCACTCCAGCCTGGCGACACAGTGAGACTCCATCTCAAAATATATATATATATTTATAAAAACAGGCACCAGGCTAGATTTGGCCCATGGGCTGTAGTGTGCCAACCCCTGGCTTGGGGGTAAGGGGGAAGGTCACATACCTAACTAGTGGTGGAGCTAGGATTTGAACCCATCTTGGGGGGAATCTGTACACCTATATGCTTGACTGCTACTACATTATATTGCCTCTTATCATATATTTTTCCTCAGTGTAAGCCACTGTAAAGAATAGACATATTCACCTATACTCTTATAAAATTTTTAATGGAGCCGGGCATGGTGGCTCACACCTATAATCCCAGTATTTTGGGAGGCCGAGGCAGGCGGATCACCTGAGTTCAGGAGTTTGAGACCAGCCTGGCCAACATGGTGAAATGCCATCTCTATTAAAAATACAAAAATTTAGCTGGGCCTGGTGGCACTTACCTGTAATCCTACCCAGGAGGCTGAGGCAGGAGAATCACTTGAACCTGGGAGACAGAGGTTGCAGTGAGCTGAGATCACACCACTGCACTCAGCCTGGGCAACAGAGTGAGACTGTCTCAAAAAGCAAGGAAAAACAGCTTTTTAATGGATTTGATGTGTGTAACCTTGGGTGATAAATACTAAATCCTGGAATATCTGATTTCTAGCACTGGGCCGTCAGAGTCAGAGCTGGTACAGAACAATGGTACCAGTTACTGATAATAATAATAGCATGCCAGAAATAAAAGGAAATGGAGATGTTCTGAATGTTTAAAGATGTTTCGATGGTCTAAACTGACCATAGAATGAACCTCTCACCCACTTAGCTGGGGCGTACAGCAACTAATGCAGACAAGTGGAATAGGACTTCTACTTCCTTCACTGATAAGGAACCTCCCATATCAAGAGGGAATCAATAACAGCCTTCACTGGGAGCCAGTAAATCCTTTGGCATTTACCTGTGAGTCTGTTCCTGCCAAAGACTATGTATTGTGTCTAATGTCTCTTATCCCTTCATTCCTTACTGGGAAAATGAGAACTATCTGTCCTCTTTAAGGGTTTTAATGAAACCTGGTTAGGATTAATTTTTAGACGGTACCTTGGAAATACTACATAATTTATTTTATGTTCCTTTAATCTCTATAGTATGTTTCTCCAGAAGTACTAAAAGAAGACACGTGCAAATAACTATCTAAAACTATTTTCTTTTCTTTTCTTTTTTTTTGAGGCAGAGTCTCGCTCTGTCGCGCAGGCTGGAGTGCACTGGCACTATCTGGGCTCACTGCAAGCTCCACCTCCCAGGTTCACGCCATTCTCCTGCCTCAGCCTCCCGAGTAGATAGGACTACAGGCACCCGCCAGCACACCCGGCTAATTCTTTGTATTTTTAGTAGAGATGGGGTTTCACCATGTTAGCCAGGATGGTCTCGATCTCCTGATCTCGTGATCTGCCGGCCTCGGTCTCCCAAAGTGCTGGGATTACAGGCTTGAGTCACCATGCCCGGCCCTTCTAAAACGGTTTTAATATAACATTTTGAAAAGTAATTTTTCAATCAAGATATGTATATTGTCACAAACTGTACATAAGGTGGAGAAAAAGTATCTTGGAAAAGTGGTCAATATGGAAACACAGATAAGCTCAGGGTAGATGGACTGATTCAAGGGTTCTAATCTCAGTTCTCAGCCAAACTGAGGGCCTGCCAAAATTGGACCAAACCAAGCCTGTGACCAGGGGTCATCATTCCTAAACACTGTTCTGCTGATGGTCCGAAGCCTTCAACTCTGCTTTGAGAAGTTGGCACTTCTACTTGGTTCTTTCTCCACGCAGGATCTGGGTATCTTGTATAAGACAAAGTTCAGGCATTGCTTCAAAGCAGTTATGCCTCTTAAAATTATCAAGGGTACCTAACCTCTATGGGGAAAAGATTTTTTCTTTTTATGAGACAAAGTCTGTCTCCCAAGCTGGAGTGCAGTGGTGTGATCATAGCCCACTGCAGCCTCGAACTCCTGGGTTCAAGAGATTCTTCTGCCTCAGCCTCCCAAAGTAGCTGGGACTACAGGCACATGCCACCATGCCTGGCTAGTTTTTAAAAAAATCTTTGTATAGATGGGGCTCTCACAATATTGCCTAGGCTAGTATTGAACGCCAGGCCTCAAGCAGTCCTCACACCCTGGCCTCCCAAAGCAGTGAGATAACAGAGGTGAGCCAGCAGCCGGGGAAGAGATTTAGAACCACTTGGAGTTTTGGATTGGCTGGCTAGCAAGGTAACTTTGATAGCCGACAACAGGTGCCAACATTACTACTTGGAGCATAACAGTACTGTGGTATATCCCTCAAGTTTTATGGAAATTGGATTCATTTTTTTAGAGTTAAGCGTATCTAAATGATTTTAGGGTTAAAGATCTTGAAATAAGGACATGATCAGTTGAAACCAAAATAATGATAACTGCTACTATTTCTTGAACACTTGTAATGCATTGAGAACCGTGCCTAGGATTTTATATGAATTCTTTCATTTAATCTTCCCGCCAATCTCAGACAATAGGAACTATTCTTGTTATTTTCTTGAGGATGAAACACATGAGATCTAGCGAGGTAGGTAATGTGCCAAGGTGTAACACACACAAGTGGATGGTATAGCTATAATTCAAGCCCAGGAGCCTACCTCCAAAGCCCGCAGTTGTAACCTTCCTGACGCCTGCTGCTGTGGTTTCAGACCGCACTGAAAAGAATGTGTTTGGTACGTTGTAGCCCATTGGGCAGACTTGACTGTTTTTGATTCCTAACTCTGAATGTACCCAGAGCATCTCTGTTTTTGAGGAGGGAACCAATTTCAATTCAAGTGAGGAAGCCTCTTCCAATAGTCACCAGGGGCTGTAGGCCACCAAAGGCCATAGGCAAGGGTGTATGACCGTGTGTGTCTTCTGTGCCCACAGTTACGGCTAGATGAGGCTCAAGAAGCAGAATGCCAGGCCTTGAGGCTACAGCTCCAGCAGGAAATGGAGCTGCTCAACGCCTACCAGAGCAAAATCAAGATGCAAACAGAGGCACAACATGAACGTGAGCTCCAGAAGCTAGAGCAGAGGGTGTCTCTGCGCAGAGCACATCTTGAGCAGAAGGTATGAGAGCATTACCGGGGGTCCCATGCCACTGGGTGGAAGGGGGCGTGGCTGAGGGAACTGCCGTATATGCAGCCTTCCTTAGTTGGAGATTAAACTGGGCACTTTTCACTTATCTGCTTTATGCTACTGGTACCCTTGTGAGGTAGGCGTTGTCCCCATTCTGCAGGCTGAAACATCAAGGCACACATGTCTGACCCCACATCCTAAGTCTTTCTGCTACTCTGCTAGGAAACCCTCAACGTTCCCAGCCAGAGGAATGACGTGGGTTGCTGGGGGGGATTGATGTGACACCTGAAAGGTACTGTGAGCTGATAGCAGGGCTGCCAAATGGCACGAGGAAGCCAAATGTATAATAGATTTGACTTTTCAGCTATTTTTAAACCGAGAGAAATCACCAGCAGGGCTCTTAAAAAAAAAATTAAAATGATGATAGGCTGATATTGCCATGCATAATAAATGTTATCCCAACTGAAATATGCATTGCTTTAGATATTCTGAGGAATATGAAGTAGAAAAAATTTCATAAGGCATCTCAAAGCTGTTAAGCATTTATTTGCTTAACCAGTTATTTGCACTTTCTTCCAGTAGTTCCCTGAGACCAACATAACAGACTATTTTCCCAGCTGCTGTTCTAGAACTAAATTACTAATGACCCAGGAGGCATTTGGCTCTCTGTGGGAAAGCAGCACAATCCAATTGTGCTTGAGTGTCTTTTAGCTTCTCCTGAGCCATCCCCTCACACAGGACACTGACCTAGATCCACCCAGCTGCTGGGCTTGCTAGAATGGCATTGCCAGCCCCAGGTGGACCCCAAACATTTTTATTCTTGTGAGCAAGTTTTAAATATAATGATTTAGACGCATTGATCACAGGACTCGGCCAGCCTTCCTTGGTCCTCCCTTAGTTCCTGTGTGTGTGTGCACTTCATGTGTGTGCCTATATGTGTGTGCACGTCATGTGGGTGCCTGTTAGGAGATGCTTTCCATTAAGAACTGCATTGTGCTTGTTTCAGATTGAAGAGGAGCTGGCTGCCCTTCAGAAGGAACGCAGCGAGAGAATAAAGAACCTATTGGAAAGGCAAGAGCGAGAGATTGAAACTTTTGACATGGAGAGCCTCAGAATGGGATTTGGGAATTTGGTTACATTAGATTTTCCTAAGGAGGACTATAGATGAGATTAAATTTTTTGCCATTTACAAAAAAAAAAAAAGAAAACAGAAAAAAATTCAGACCCTGCAAAACCACATTCCCCATTTTAACGGGCGTTGCTCTCACTCTCTCTCTCTCTTACTCTTACTGACATCGTGTCGGACTAGTGCCTGTTTATTCTTACTCCATCAGGGGCCCCCTTCCTCCCCCCGTGTCAACTTTCAGTGCTGGCCAAAACCTGGCCGTCTCTTCTATTCATAGTACACGTCACAGTATTGATGTGATTCAAAATGTTTCAGTGAAAACTTTGGAGACAGTTTTAACAAAACCAATAAACCAACAACAAAAAAAGTGGATGTATATTGCTTTAAGCAATCACTCATTACCACCAATCTGTGAAAGTAAAGCAAAAAAAAAATAATAAATGCCAAGGGGGAGAGAGACACAATATCCGCAGCCTTACACCTTAACTAGCTGCTGCATTATTTTATTTTATTTTATTTTTTTGGTATTTATTCATCAGGAATAAAAAAAAAACAAAGTTTTATTAAAGATTGAAAATTTGATACATTTTACAGAAACTAATTGTGATGTACATATCAGTGGTGACATATTATTACTTTTTGGGGGATGGGGGGTGGGTGGGGTGAAGAGATCTTGTGATTTTTAAGAACCTGCTGGCAAGAGTTTAACTTGTCTTCAGCATATTCTGATTGTATCATAATCATTTTCTGCTGTTGCAGAGGATGTGAATACACTTAAAGGAGCTCACAGAATCCCAGTAGCACAAATTGGGCTTTGGCAAATCGTGTATTTTGTGTATAGAAGGAATTTAAGGAGAGGTATTACTTATTTTCATATTGTATTTTAACTGTTTCTCTGATCAAATTTTTTTACTTCCTCCTCCTGTTCCTCCCCACCTCCCTCCTTTTCCAATTCAGTATTTGGAGTTCAACACTGTCTCTCAATCAGATCATCTTGATCTTTTTCTTTACTTCCCCTCCCCTTCCTAAGTCCCATTTCTTGGTCATAAATATTGCATTATTCACACTTTCAAACTGTGTATTTTCTTACAATAAAAAATGATGAAAAAAAAAAAAGGCTTTACTTCTTTTGCATGCACTTTAAAAACAAAACAAAACATTTTTCAGGTTCCAAGGAAGAGCATGATAACTGTCAGAGCTTTTAATTATATTTGTAAATAAAAGTGTTCATCACATCGCCTTGCTGTGTTATTGTAGCAGGAGGTTTCCCTTCTAGGTTCACCAGTGCACAATTCAGAGGGACAGCCACCCTCCTGAAACTGTTCTCCACAGCCTCGGTGAGTCAAAGAGGAGCCATTCAAGACTTTCAGGTAAAGCTGCGTCTTCCAAGTTCTTCTATGGGGCCGAAGATAGCATTGCACCATTCGATGTGAGCTCACGGTCAACGGCACCTTTCTGTCCTAAAGAATAGAAGGCATCCGCACACACATACACACACACACAAAACCCCCCACGCGCCAGTCGTGCATAGAAGCATGCATTGCTGAAGAGAGAAATTGGGCACCCTTAAAGGAAAGCAGGCTGGGGAGAAGGTACCATAACCAAATATCTGAAATGATCCCGTGTAATATTAGACCCCCCTCCTCTCATATTCTGCTTTTATTAGAATAATTTTACATGTAAAACAGATAGTAAAAAATACAAAATTTCAGGGATATGATTTGGGGGTCAGGACAATCTCAGTAAGATCCCATATGCTTAAGGCTGTATCAGGCTTGTCCAACCCACCTTATTTTGTTGTTACTCTGTTTTGTTTTAGGCTTCTGACAGCCTGAGGCTATGGTTTTTGGTTTCCGTGTCTAGTGATACATGGAAAAGGGGGATGAGGAAGGGGCTTTACTGGCCCAACCAGAAACAGAAGCTAAGAACCCATGACTGTGTTCTCTCCCTTGGACACCCCTGGAAATTGCTCTTTAGAATAAGATGACCTGGGATGGGCCCAGCACTTTGGGAGGCCGAGGTGGGTGGATCACCTGAGGTCAGGAGTTCAAGACCAGCCTGGCCAACATGGTGAAACCCCATCTCTACTAAAAGTATAAAACTTAGCTGGATGTGGTGGCACACGTCTGTAATCCCAGCTACCCGAGAGGCTGAGATACGAGAATCACTTGAATCTGGTAGGCAGAGGTTGTAGTGAGCCGAGATCTCACCACTGCACTCCAGCCTAGGCAACAGAGCGAGACTCTGTCTCAAAA